TGGGAAAGTTGCACCCTCAATCGGAAGCTCGTAGAAGTACAGATGCTTGCCAAATTATTCGATTGTTGTCGGGCCGCTTCAGAACACCTTCACGCTAGCTGGTAAATATGGCCAGTCTCTCCTCCTTCCTCTTGGGTGGCGCATGCGCAATAGCTCCCAAGGCTGGGATCCTGAGTATAAAGCATAATATTCATTTAATGTTCAGTATGGAAGGAAATGGGTTTGACGAATATTTAAGTCATCAATAAATGTATTATGCGGCAACAAATATTTTCTCGTAGTGCATGTCAAGTAATTTAGACTACGTTAAATGAACGAGAAAGATTCAAACTGGAAATTTGACTTATTTTATTCACTGGAATAGCTAATCGTAGCTGTATGAATTATTTATAGTAAACGAACGTAAACAAATGAGTAAATCTATTATTAATTGATTATCCTTAATAAGGGAAGGTAAATGAGGCTGGATTCAATTCGATCCATTTATAATTATAAATTATTCCCTGTGAGTAGCTGGCTGACGCAACATGGCCATGATTCCAGGGATAAATCGGGCGGTACTGCGCCTTAATTATTAACTAAATGAATTTAGTTTCACTACTCTACTGGTTAGTATTGTTAGTAAATTATAATACCAAGTTCAAGAATTGCTTCTTCAAGTTCTAGGTGTTAGTAATTAAGTGTTGGAAATTTTCAACATAACTCCTGGGCGAAAAATTACGGGTCGCAGTGCTGACATTCTTATTACTCTTCCCTGAAATTATATTCATTACTTACATGTTAGAAAGTTAGTATGAACAACACGGATGTCCCGTGTCTGTGAAACAGATATGAAACTAAGTCATCATGGGAACATCATTTAAATGTTGAAAACATGAAATTATTGAGTCATCCAAATCAAGAAAGCTCTAAAATCTACAGTAAAATCAATGATGAGTGTCGCTATGACTTGTAATGGTTGAATTACGTAGTCACTGAATGGTTCCAACAGACTCAGAAAATATTCTCAATATCAGATGGTTATTATCTGCAATTATGCAGGATGAAAATACTGTACAAGTGGTAATTTTACATTGTTATACATTAATTAAAGAATATAAAGTATTAATCATTATATCATTGAAGATCAAGGAAACTTCGAATCTACAGTGAGTTCACTGTCTAGGGTTACTGTGACCTGTAACTGTTGAGTTACTAGACACTAACTCAGCATTGGAGTATCATGACCACCTCAAACTCAAATGAGGAATTGTCTGCACTTAAGCAGAATTAAATTTGGCTTAAATTTGTACTCTGGTGCAGTAGTCATTTGAAACTAATAGTATAACTAAGTTTCTAGCCTAGTTAAATTTCATTTATTATTAGAGAACTGATTATGTTTAATCATTAAAATCAAGGATAATCCTGAGTCGACAATGAGATTAGTAGCCTAATCATTATGACTTGTATCTAATTGAATTACAGCTCACAGGCTTGTCACTGAAGACATGAATTCATCCTCAATTTAAATGAGGAATAACAATTTAATTTAAATCAGTCTCTTATTAATAGTCAACTACATATATTTGGGAGCACAGACTCAGCTGATACTCTGTTGACTGTAACTAATGTCCCTTAATATCTACCTAAATAGAGGGTTTAATTTCCCTAAACCTACCTAAGTAGAGGGCTATGCTAATTGTGACAATCTACTATTTCTTTGGTAGCATCACCCTAGCTAAATGGTGAGCAGTTGAGCTGCTCGTTTGTTAATGCATTAGGCTACAGTGCTGTAGCTTGTTGACCAGACCACACACTAGAAATTGAAGGGACGACGACGTTTCGGTCCGTCCTGGACCATTCTCAAGTCGATTCTCACAATCGACTTGAGAATGGTCCAGGACGGACCGAAACGTCGTCGTCCCTTCAATTTTTAGTGTGTGGTCTGGTCAACATACTTCAGCCACGTTATTGTGACTCATCGCGTGCTGTAGCTTTCTTGAGACTTAACGAAGCACCTAGTCTAACAAAACTATTTGTGAGTAGTACGGCTTACTCAGTTTATAGTTATTACGCTACAATACTATAGTCCTCTTCAGACTTAACGGGGCACGTAGCTTAAGGAATTTCATGGTGAGCAATAATGGTTGCTCAGGTTATCATGGTGAGCAAAAAGGTGCTCAAATATCATGGTAAGCAATAAGGTGTTCGAATTATCGTGGGAGCAATAATGGGCTCAAATGATCGTGGTGAACAACAATGTGCTCGAATTAGCGTGGTGAGCAATAAGGCGTTTGAATATCATGGTGAGCAATAATGAGTTCGGATTATCATGGTGAACAATAATGCGCTCTAATTATCACGTTAATTCATAGGTGAACAGTTGAGTCTGCTCGTTTTATTCAGGTTAAATAAGTGCAGGATCCTTCTTGAGGGATAACTAAGCACAGAATCAATTAAAGATTCATTGGTAAGCATCATTGCCTGCCCGTATTAAGCATAATAAGTTACAGTACTATAGGCCCTTGTAAGACCTAACGAAGCACAGCAACTTAAAGTTTAATGTTAATTCATTAGATGGTAAGAAACCTAAGGTTTCTGGAAAGAATTAATTCACTGTTACTACGACCAATCTTGCTTGGGAGGCAATTTGTAACGGATTATCCTAACCTATACGTTTCCCGGTTTAAAGCTCTCTATTACATGTTCACTTACAGATTTGCAAATTATCAATTTTGCTTGTGCTGATACTTCTTCAAAAACGCTTCAAAGACTGCTTATGGGCTGAAGCGAGAAAGAAGAAGTAGGCCAAACAAGACTGAAGCAACACTGCAGGTGATATTTCATCAGGTGAATTACAAAAATCCTAGTTCAAAGAAACTTAGATTAAATGTGTTTGTCTGGTTAAGACTAATCTAAGGTTTTCTTGGCAGACCTTAAGCGCCAGATTATTTTGGACCATGGTCCTGGTAAACTTGCAGGTATGGAAGTTTCTTGATGACTTCATCTTCCTGTGAGATTCTTGGGTACTAGAATTTCTTACCTTAATTTTATTAATTTACATATAGGCTTTTATTTTTTACAGAGGCTTGGTCGCTGTGACTAGCACCGGTTTAGGTTGCTGACCACTGATTATCCACTGAGGTCCATGAAAACATCTCGGCAAATATTAATTGTACTAGACTCAATCTGGGTTTAATTACTCAGCTGTTTTTCTCCCTTATGCTTGTTGCTGGAGAATTAATTTACTGCTGATGATTAAATTTTATTAATATTGATTGTTAGCAGGCATAGGTTTGTTCAGGTTTAAAACTTTACCTGTAAGTAGGTAGCCTCCTTCTGATTTGAGCAAATTCATGCCCTGTTGTTTAACTTGACCAGTAATAAACTGGTAGTAGTAGTCTGCTTCTACTAGTAGATTCACATCGGTGAGGCAGTCAAACATTAACTGGATGTCAGCCAATTTAAATCCATTTTGTTGTAGGAATCTGGCTGTGTACCCTAGACCCTTAACATTTAGGTCAAATGGGATTTGATCGACAACTATGCCCTAGACAGGGCTGACATAACCTCCTATACGTACAAGCGGTTGTATTACTGTATACTCTTGGGGTCCTCTATTAATCATGAACCCTGACAGGTTTAATTTTACCTGTGTTATTGGTTTTAATATAAGTGCCTCTGCCGCTTTCTGGGTAATTAAGGTTTTCTGGGACCCTTTGATCGAGTAGGTCACGAACGGCGATCTTGACCACTTTATTCTTGACTTGGAGTTGGGCAGTGAGCAATATTGCATCAACTTGAGATGCTGGTGATTGTACACTGTAAACTTCTCGCACCTTGCAGCTCTGTACTTGGGTAGAGTTTCTATCACTTACCTTGGGGTTTCAATACTTGATTTAGCATACTTGCACAGTGCAGCATGATGCTGCCCCTTTTTACACCTATTGCATGTGTTTAGTGGGGTCTCACAGTTGTTAGTACTATGTGGTTTGAGATACGCCATCAATTGCACGTAATAGCAACACAGGCTATACTGAATATGTTACAATTCCATTTCAATGTTTCCGATTGCATTGATAAATTAAATTTTCTTAGGTTTCGAATTATTTTCATTTTGATTTATTTGTTTTGTGTGACAATTCGAAGGAATTGAGCTGTGTTGCTTACCATACCATTCATTTTGTATGTATAAGTATAGATGCCACACCTATGACAGGTAAAAACTATGCTTTTCTTGAAAAACAGCGCCATCTGTTGCATGTAAAAGCAACACACATGCTATACTAAATATGTTACAATTCCATTTCAATGTTTCTGATTGCATTGATAAATTTAATTTTCATAGATTTTGATTTATTTTCATTTTGATTTAATTATTTTGTGTGAATTGCGTTGGAATTGAGCTGTGTTGTTTACCATACCGTTCATATAATTTACAGGGGGAAGAAACATCTGGAATTGCTTCACAGAAAACAACAGCAATGTAGCTGTAGAACTTCCTGTCGAAACCGAATATATATAGAATAACATTTTGACTCAATAAGTGACATGACCTCGGCTATAACTGGATGACAGCATTGTGTGACTTGAACCGTCATGCGGTTAATCCCATCACCGATACTAACCAGTCTGATCTAATTAGTGCCTCTCATTGCTGGAGGTGCGAAATAACACTCTTCTGATTTGCTCAAGTGTCCATCACTTAGGCTGGATGGTAGAGCGACGGTCTCGCTTCATGCAGGTCGGCGTTCAATCCCCGACCGTCCAAGTGGTTGGGCACTATTCCTTCCCACCGTCCCACCCAAATCATTATTCTGACCCCCTTCCAAGTGCTATATAGTCGTAATGGCTTGGCACTTGTTGCATCCCTCACTCTTCTGCGATGATTCGCTCTCTTCCTGTGACTTGTGTCGTCTCTGAACTTACTAACGTTACCTTCACACCAAATCTCTCCTGTGTTACGGTCATCGTGTGAGGCGTGATAAGGCTTACATGTACTAATTGTCCGTTGTTGTCAG